ATGAAAAACAGTAGAGCTCCTTTAATGAACCCAAACTTTTACCTCAAAGTCCCATTTTTTTACACCAATATTTTATAGGTGTTGTATTGTCTGTGAGACACGCAACATTAAAATCAGCTATCATTCCAAGAACAGTTGAGAGGTACATGGTAACCATGAGCAATTCATTACAAACTCATTTAACTTCACTCCAGCAGTCTCTTGGTTCTTTGCAAACAGGAACTACTGCATAGCCTAAACAACTCTAAAAGGTGTGTGACCTTTGTCCCAAATTCATCTGGCCATATGACCCTATGTAACACACTGGTCTCTCTCTGACTTTTCTAGACCCCATAAACAGGGCCATTATGGTTGGTCCTGGGACCAAGGGCATATTATACTTTATGGACTGTTCTCTTACCACCCTCTAGCATTTTCATCTGGCTAAAATGAGTATCAAGCAGCTATCAGGTATATTTGGAGGAGTCATGAAGGGTGTAAAAAAAATAAAACATACAACCTGGTAGAGAGCAGCCAGTACATGGGAAAGAGGAAGGTGGAGATTCATTACAAGGCAACAACCCCAGCCCCTGTTACCTTGTTTCTATACTGAGTTTTATATACAAAACTTGGTGGCGTTTGTGGTTGTCTTAGTACTAGACACTCCTGTGTCCCTCTCCAATCAGATCCTGCTTCACTGGGGCCAGTTGTCTGAGACTCCTTACAAATTGTAAATTCCTTGATTACCAAGTGAGGCTTTCCAATGCTCAGTTTCTGGAGAAGTCATCCTAATCTGACTCTGACCCAGGAACAGCGCTGCCCCAAGACACCTTATATTGATTAACAGACTTAATTAATTAATAGATTTGTTTGTTGAATTGTATGTGACAAATGAAATTGTAAAGCAGGTACCATTATGCCTTTTTATACTATGAAAATCTGCTATATATTTTAGAACACAGTCCACTAGTGCCTTGAGGAACTCAAAGTACTTTTTTGTTTTGTTTTGTTTTCATCCCCATTATAAGGAATGACACTAACAGGAAAACTGAGGTATTGACAGGTTGCGCATTTCTGATGGAACCTTGGTGTGACTAACACCCTAATTCACTAATGGTTTACTGATTTCTTACAAGATCTTACAAGAGATGACAAACCTATTCCTTACTCTACTCTTGATATTTTTGCAAGGAGCATATAATTCAGAATTTCAGAAATTATTTTATTAAAAATCAGAACATTAAGGCATAGTAATACATCAATTTTTCAAGTAATGAAAATTCTTTTTTCTCAAATCAAACTTTCAATGAAGACATCATTCACTCTTTAATTACAAAAATATCATACTAAATGTCATCCTCAACTTAACTTCATTCTCAAATGCATTTCCCCTAATTTTAGAAAACTGCACCAACCCAAAGCAGTTTTGTCCTCATATGTTTAAAAACATTCCCTTAAAGAAAAAACTCATTTTACTATACATGTGTATTTAATATTTTTAGAACTTTAATTAAGTGGATAAATTAACTTTTTAATTTAAGGCTTACTGTGTTTTCTATTGCTACTTGGTTGGTCTTGATTACACAAAGGAACCAGAAGTATTAACTTAATAATCTAGTATAACATTCTCCAACTATACAGTCAACTGTAATCTGGTACAACAGACCAAAATTCCTTCAAGATAAAGGGTATAAAATTATGAACCTTATACGCATATTTATATACAACATCTTGACATTACAGTGGTACAAAAATACAGCAAATACTATACATCAATCAGTAACAACTTTCTGTATTACAGAGGAAATATTCTGGGTCCTTATGAGGTTATATTCCTGAAAAGCTATATCCACAAACAGTTAAGTCTTAGAAGATTCTGTCCACCAATCTGTTTAATAATACAAAGTCATGTTTCTTAGAGTTTTCCATCAACTAAGTGAACATGCTGCCCTTTAGATAAAACATACATTACTCTAACTCAAAGCAATAGATTATCACTTTAAAGATGAAAGAAAAATATGTACATTTAATAAAATCCAAGATCGTTCTAAATGCTTTGTATGGAAAGAGGCAGTCAGATAGGACAGAATACAAGGTTCCATATTACTCTTCTTCACATTCTCTTTAACAGGCAGTTATATAAATCAACAGACTTCTTGAATAGTAAGTTATTCTCCTTTTACCTGATCAACAAGTGCTATCGTGGGAGTTTATAAGAAGGTTCTATCCTATCTCATAAGGCACAGACTGAAACAGCCATAGGCAACAGCAACTGAAACAGTTATCAATAGCCCTAACATTTATAAGAACCCTATGCACAGACTCTCCTTAAACTGCTTCATTATAAGCTATAACCTATAATCCTCACTCCATCTAACTTTCAGTGTAAGACCTATGAAGCCCCCTAAGTATGAAGCTACTGAGCAGCCCCTAAAGAAATTCTCAGCCCCATTACACCAAGGATGATGAATGCAGGAGTCTATGTCACAAATCTTACAGCACACCTATGCCAATAATTATATGTATTTGCTACTGCTCCACTAACCAGCACCATCTCCTTAAAAATATAAACTCTTACATTATTTACCTAAAATTACATCCCAATGGAGGGGAGGGGAAAGAGAGATATATTGCTTTCTCTGAGGGTGGGGAAAAAAAAGTTTTTGAGTCAGAAAATTTCTTAAATGATTTTGATTACAGAAGGAAACGTATGTATTCTTACAAACTTTTAAGGGAGGAAAGAGGTCAGGTTGATTTAGAGGTAGTTTTCCTATTATTCACAATCACCATTATCACTACCACCACCTTGTAGCTATTGTAGCCAGGTAACCCAGGGAACTGCATTTCCAAATTCCACTAGGATACTACAATAGACAGTTATTTCCATTCCACCCCCACATCCCCAGGGCTGAAAGGTGCTAAACGTAAAGTGCTAGGAACCAGAAAGTAGAAAATCATCTCAGTTCTTTGAATAAGGGTAATTTCTATGACAAGCATTTTTGTCCTATGCACATCTAATTGTGTTTAATATAAACACTTGAATCTAACACATTTACACATGGATCATTTTTGTGCTGGACAATTTTGTCCTATGCATGGTGGAAAGTAAAGTAAGCAAAGTTCACATTCCTGTTTATTATTTTTCTAAGACCTATGTTCCAACATAATGGCATGCCTCCAAAACCAATGCTTTTAAGGGCATTTAAAATATCTGGCCTATATTCATGTGAAGACCTTTCATTTTCAAAAGGCTTGTTTTTAAAAAAAAAGATTTGTTGAATATAAGAGGTCAACATTTTTGAAATATGTTACTCAATAGACATAGATCACAAACATAACAAAACTAATTCTCCTTACAAACATGCTTGAAAGTAGTAAGTAAAAGGATTTAAGTGAATTAGTGAAAGGAAAGGTAAATTCTTCATCTTCCCACAAAATTCCATAAATATTTGCAAGTAGTTAAGATTCTTAAAGTTAATTTTACCTACATCTTCTTAAATAACTTCTAAACTCACCAGGTCAATACAGTATGCTCCTTCAAAAGATAAACGGATCAGGTTACAATACTTTCATTCTAAATGTCAGTTAAAGCCTTCTCCTTCTTCGGTTGTAAAAGCAGCATTAATAACATTTGCAGATGATTCACATTTTCATCACACTATAAACTCACTTCATCTTAATGTTTAGAACATCTGATATTTTATAAAGATATTAAAACAAAGTGTGAAGTTATGCATTAGAATGTCAAGTTATAAATATATCATATAAAAACTGATACATAAAAATGTTGAGGATGGAATAAGAAGGCTTTAACACTTAGAAAGTTAACAATGATGAACTCAGTAGAGTGTCACAATATTTGTCTAAACAGAAAACGTGTCAAGGTTTTGGACAAAATGAGGTTGCTCTTTCCTTGGAAACTCAATGCTGTGAGAAAGCCACAGCAGCATGCTAGATTTCTTCCTCACACACATAAGAAGCTATTTCAAGCAGCCACTCAGCCTGCTTGTTTCCTAGGCCCTGCATCTGAGTAATTTGGATAACTAGGGCTCTCCACACGCTAATTTACACAATGACAACAACAACTGAGTGATCTTCTAGGGATGGCATGACTAACTCTGGAAATCCAAATGTAAGCAAAGACAGAATTTTCACCTCTCCACACCAGAGAGATGGCATAATGCTTGCACCATCCCCAGACGTAAAGAAGAAAACTGAGATAAGCATTTTTATGCTAGTAGAAATACTTATAAAGATTACCTTTTGTTTTAAACAAAAGAGCAAAATCAAGAAATAAACATACTTGCACTTCAACTTTACCCATACTTTACTTAATATAGAATCATTTTTATATATAAAAAAGAAAAATATCAAATAATAAAGCATAAACCCAAGAGAACAAAATATGGTTGTGCAATACCACAGAAGACTCACATTCTTTCTCAAAGTATAGAGAACGAGTATTTGTATTAAAGTTAAAAAAAAATAAATAGCTATCTTGAAATCCCAAACTTTTACTCCCAAGAAAATAGTTTCAAAACAGTGAATAATAATATTTCAAAATAATATCCACTAGGCAAGGACTTATTTTATGCACTTCTTACATGAAATACTTTAAATTACTCCCAGAACTAGAGCAAACTGACATTTAAGACAACATTCAAGAACCACTTTTAAAAAAATTACAAATTCCTCCCCAATACCAGAGAATTTCATATTAATATGTATATCTTCCATGATAACATAACAAAAAAAAATCAGTCAACAAGCATTTATTAAGCGCCTTATATGTGCCAGGCACTTTGTTAGAAGCTATGGATTTAAGGACAAAAAAAGCTAACAGTCCCTGCCCTCAAAGAGTTTACATTGTATCAGAGGAAACACACACACACACACACACACACACACACACACACACACCCCAATATATATAAATATATATAGATATATAGATATAGATGTAGATATATACACATACACACAGAAGAGATACCCAGTAATTTAGGGGGAAGGCACTAGTTGTTGGGTGGGACAGATGACCAGGAAAGGCCTTCTGCAGCAGGTGGTGCTTGAGCTCAGTCTTGAAGAAAACCAGGTACTGTTAGAGGTGGAGATGACTGGAGGTGGACATGCATTCCAGATGTGGGGGACAGCTCAACGGTACAGCACAGAAGCAGGAGACAGGAGTATCATGTACACAAGACAAAAAGGTCAGATGGCTGGACATTAACAATACATATAAATATATATGCACAGCTGGTGAAGATTTGTTACAGCTTGGGTAAGAATGATTCATTGCTATTAACCAGGCTTCATTTATGCAGGCTCTAATTACATTATCTTTTCTGAAGATAACATTCTTTCTGACATTTCGTATTTGGTCATCATCATTTCCTGAATGAAAGAAGGAATATTTCAATATTTAATATTGCTAATAGAATCCTATCCAAATTATAACTTAGTTTCAACCTCTGAAATTCCATTATAAAGCATCCAGTTGGCTAATATACATACTGCTTTGTGAGACCATACAGTTCTTGCACTCCAACAATTTATAACACATTATCAGAAAAATTCAGAGAACTTTAGGGATTTTTTTTTCCCTAATGAAGAGGTTAAGAGCAGTATAATTCACTAAGAAACTATAATAACCATGTAACCATGATCAAATCCTTGAAATCAGTATATTAAACTTCTTTTATTTTTACCAGAATTTATCTTCTAGGGGTTTTGGCTGCCATTCCATCTGCAATCATTTTCAAAATTTCTCTAATTTTCCTTTCTACAGTTCAGATTGTGTATGCACATGGCAGCTCTAGATATAGAAAAACAGATCTAACTATATGTAAAAATATAGTTTACCTCATCTGAATCCACTAACACTGGAAGAGCTCTGAAACAGAAAAAGATTAGAATCACAATGCGATCATAAATCAAGACTCTCCTAGAGCCTAACTAGGGGAGGAAGATGAGATTCCTTCTGCTTCATCCCAGAGGCCTAAGAAAGAGGCTTATTTCAGTTAAACAAAAAGGTTAAAGTGGAATGTTCTATGTTTTGATGTAGTGATTTCCTAGACACTAGTGGTCTTCAAACAGAGGACATGGGGATGTCATAGAGAGGATTCACTCTTCAGCACGTGGCTGAACCATTTAGTTAATGCTGAAATTATTATAACACCACATCACTCTATTCTGATGTTTTCACTCTAGTAAGGGAGGAGAAAAGACTAATAATAGTAGCTCACACATTTCTAACATGCTTCAAGTAATTTGATCATAATAAACCTAATAGTAAACAGGGTGTGCATGAAGTTGTGTTTAGGGAGACAGTAGGAGAATTGGATGGTGGTATATCACCACCTGTGGCTTAAAATGAAAAAAGTTTTTTCCAGGAAAAATCTGTATGTAAAAGTAGAAGTACTGGTATGACTATTTCTGTTAAGTCAGAAGGCAATGAGAACTAAGTGATATGCACAGTGATAAATTTAGAGGAAAAAAAGGACCAGGTACTTTCTTTTTGCCACAGCACCACCATACTCACTAGCACCATGTAAAGGGTGTTGTGCTAGTGCTATAAAGAGATATCATGAATTGCTTGGCCCTGGGATTAATGGAAAACTGTAAAGTCTGGAGAGTTCCCACAAACACTACCTCTACTGCCCCACTCCTTTTTATCATCAGCACAAAATCCAGTGCTGCCTACATTTCAACAGCTTCATTACAATTCTCCACCATTCTCCTATGACTCTCTCTTACAACTGGCCAAAACAAGACCCCAGGCATCTCAAGAATCATTCTAGCTTTCATGTTCCTTTCCTTCTGGCCTCAAAAATAAATTCAGATAACCTAGAAACAGCAGAAGTTGCTGAGATCCTACTCCACCTTTAAGTTTTTATAAAATCACTGAATGGCTAGGAAGGACTGGACCATGAAGACCTTGGCACTCCAGACTGCCTTGAATCAATACAATCCATTGGTGGGGGCTCCTACCAATAATTTAAGTGTTGTCATCAAGAAGGATCTATTGTTACGTAAACAGGGCATATGAAGAGAGAATCACATAATGAAAATCTGAGGACCAGCCCTTTAAACCATCCTAAGTACAACAACAGAGGATATTTACACATCTGTGAATGAAGAAGGAATATTTTCTTCTACCCACTTCAAATCTTCATCCTGAAAAGACGAGAAAGATTACTAAATACCATTTATCAGTAGCAGGTCAAACACTTTATCTTCACAAAATTTATCATACACAATATCTTTACCTAAATCTATTTGGTAAGGTATTCTTTCAAACTTCATAATTTAATCCAAGATCATATTCAGCAACTGTTTGGTTTAAAAAACCCTTAATATGATGCCCAAAATGCATGCCAAAGCCAGCACAGATGCAAGATCCATGATAATGGGAGGTTTTAACTATCTGGCTATCTACTAGGTATGTCTCTGATAAATATAGAGCATCTGATAAATTCCTGACCTGCCTTCATGACAATTTCATCATTCAGAAAGTAGAGGAAAAAAAACAAAAGGAGGAATTTATTGGAGAAATTAAGCAATGGGAACCTTAAGAGGAGCTGCCTATGCCAAAGCTCAAAAGAGATTAGCAGAGGAATGCTGGTCACAGTCTGACAGATACTTATAAGATGATAGATTTCAAAGACAGATTCAACAGGATTCCATGGATCAAATCTCTAAAAGAGAAATGCATTCAAAGGGAATGTGTCTCTTAGGAATTCATTTTGATTTCACATTCATAAATTTTTCTGTTGGGGAAGAAAGAACAAAGTGTCTAAACTAAAAAGAGGCTAAGAGTTGCACAGGGACCACAATAACAAGCTCAGATTTAAAAACAAAATGTAGAAGAGAGGAAAGAAATAGCAGGTAACTGAAGACCAATCTAAGAATGGCACAGTCTTGTGAGAGTAACATCAACAATATTAAAGCTTAGTATGAACTGTGGCCGATAATAAATAGCAAAACTACAAAAAGGGCCATCTTAGATTTGTTTGGGCAACAAGTTAACCAAGAGCAGGATATTTCCATGGCTTCAGATAATTGTAATGGACAGTGAAGAATGAACTACTTAACTACTTTGCTTCTACTTTCTCTACAAAGAAAAATGATTTTCAGATTTGGAAAGACAAGTGATTAATAGGGAAATGAACCCAAGTTAAGTAAAAGAACAAGGAGATAGCACCTAACTACCCTAGATGAGTTCAAGCATCTAGCCAGGATGAATTCCATTCTAGGGTGCTGACAACTATGGATCTGATTGATGATGAACCACTGTCTTATCATCTCTGATCAATCACAGAAAACAACACGTGTCACAACAACAGCATGATATAGGTAGAACCCCACACTATGATTAGAACTAAGAGGATGTCAAGATAAATTCTGCCTCTGCATTTACTACCTGTGTGACCAAAGTGAAGTCACTGAAGCTCACTAGGGTTGTTTCCCATATGTACAAAAAGTTAGTTTAGATAATTTCCAAAGTCTATAATGCTATAAGTAGAGATGTGATGATTACTGAATCACAGGAATAAGCTGAACCAAACTGATCTTATTTCTTTATTTGACAGTTACTACACTGGCCATAAATGGTATGTCCTATATGGTATATAAGTCCTATATACCATTTACCTGGATTTTAACAAAGCATTCAACAACATCTCTTAAGACAATATATCAAGAATAAGACTGAGAGTTGTGAATTAGATGACAGTATAGTTAGGTAAAGTTTGAAGTCAACAGGCAGATCCAAAGAATGATAATTCATTAGGATCAATATCAAGGGGGAGGGATAACTCTAGTGTAGCGCTATAGGTCACTTTATCTTTGACTCTGTTCCATTCAACATTTGCATCAATGACACAGTTAGAGATATAAATGTAATGCTCATCAAATTTACTAAGACATGCAGTTGGGAGGGATCTTTAATTGCTGGTTGAAAGAACTAGACCCAAAAAAATCTCAACAAGCTGGAACAATAAACTAAATCTAGGAATATGAAATTAATGTTAATAACTATGAAGTCTTGCACTTAAGTTTTAAAAACTGCACAAGTAGACAGGTAGTTTGTCTGAAAAAATATAGAGGTTCAAAGAGATCAAAGAAAGAGGAAAATGACCCATAGACACAAAATATTTAAAGCAGCACTTTCGGTGGTAGCAAAGAATTGGAAACTAAGGAAGTACCCATCAACTGGGGAATAGCTGAACAAGTTATGGTACATGAATGTTGGAACATGACTGTGTTTTAAGAAATGATGAAAGGGACATTTTCAGAGAAATCTGGAAAGACTTGTATGAACTGATGCAAAGTGAGTTGAGCAAAACCAGGAGAAGAATTTATACAACAATAACAATACTGTAATTAATGATAATGTTGTAACAATATTGTATTTGAAAGACTTAAGAACTTTGATCAATGCAATGCTTAACAAACTTGAGAACACTCACAATGAAACATGCTGCCTGCATGGAGAGGTGATGGGCTCAGAGTATGGAGTAAGATGCGTTCTTATGGACATGGCCAATTCAGCAATTTGTTTTCTTGATGATACATGTTTATAATAGTAGTTTTACTTGTTTTGTTTTCTCAATAGAAGTAAGAGGGGAGGTGAAAAAAAGAGAAGGTAGATCTTCATTTTTAAAAAATAAAACTTAATTTTAAAAAAACATGGAGGCTTGCAGGTTAAAAACAAGTTAAGACAACCAAAAATGCTAATGAATTTTGTGCTAGATTAAGAGATCTAAAATCCTGGACTAAGTCACACCATATATCAAGTACTGTGTTCGGTTCTAGATGCCACATTTTAGGAAGGAAACTGACCAACCAGAAAATATCCAGAAGATGGTGAAGGAACTTGAAGTCATACCACACAAGGAAGAGAACAAGAGGTGCTTAGCCTCAAGAGAAGATTTAGGGGGAACTAGATAGCTGTCAACAAGTACCATGTGAAAGAGAGATTAGACTTTTTGCTTGGCCCTAGAGGGTAGAACTGGGAGCAAGGGGTAGAAGTGACAATGAGGTACATATAAGCGTGGTGCAAGGAAAATCTTCCTAATAATTAGAGCTATTCAAAAGTAGTATGTGCTGTCTCAAGAGGTAATGGGTTCCATCTCATTAGACTGGTTAGACTAGCTACCCTCTGATATCACTTTAAAACAGAGAATCCATGCTTAAAAGCAGCAAATGTCAGGGGAAAAACTTGGATGTCTTAGAAGACTTCTAATTTAATGAGCCCAATGTATGATATGGCTGTCAAAAGACCTAATGTAATATTGGACTGCTTTAGCTCTACTTTGATGGCTAAGCCTAGGCTCTATAATTTAGGAAACTATATTTCCTTATGATACCTGTAAGTACCTAATGCTTTGAAATAAGCTTAGAAACATTACCAAAATAAGAAAATAAGTTTCCTAAAAACAGATTAGTCTAATACTTCAAAAGATCTGTGATTTCACTACTATGAATACTTTCTCCAACTGTGCAGATGGCAACCTGTTAGTAAGCTGTTTTCATGAGTGTCGTGCCCTAGTACCCAACCTTCTGTGATAAGCCTTTGCCAGATAATTATAACTGAGAGATTTCAATTGCTATGAAATTATTAATATAAAAACATAACTGTCCTTCATCTCATCTCCAACCTAAACTGAAAGTAAATTCTGAAGTAAATTTCTACAAATAATAATCATAATGATGATAAATTCATATGGTGCCTACTATGTGCCAGGCACTGTGCTTAGTGCTTATAATTATTATCTCATTTGATCCTCACAACATTCCCTGGAAGGCAGATGCTACTATTATCCCCATTTTACAGGTGAGGAAGCTGAGGCAAACAGTAGCTAAGTGACTTATCCAAAGTCACTCTGTCAGTAAGTGTCTGAGGCTAGATTTGGATTCAGGTCTTCCTGACTCAGTGTTCTATCCACCAAGCTTCCCAGCTGCTACTTAAAGACATTTATATTGCAATAACGATATTGACACAAAGCTGATAACACCTTGCCTAATATAAGAAATCATCTTAGCTGACTTCAAAAATCTTAGGTAATGACACATTTTTAAATGTTTAGAATTTTTCAATCTTTGCTTAAAAATCTCAAATGATTACATATTATATGCGATATCTTCCATATCCTAAACCAAAATATCCTGGTTATTTTCTATTCTTTTTTTCTGTAAACACACACCCACACACACCCATACCCCTGCCCACCCCAAAACTTAAATAATTGCTATTGAATGAAAGGGACATGCATTTGCAACCTAACAGATACTAGAATACTCCCACCTATTTTTGTTTTTAAAAATTATACTTACAACACTATTAGAAGAAGCAGGTACAGCTGTTCCATTGGAAACAGTTTTTGAAGCTCTTAGCTTTATGCCTTCAGCTGTAAAAGAAGAAAAACTATATATAAATTTTTACAAAGAGATAGCCTTTTTTGAAGCCACATACCTAATAGCTCAAAAAGAAAATGTAAAGAATTTCATATATGTTTGTGTGTTTTACACACACACACACACACACACACACGGCTGTTTCAAAGAATCATATTCTATCCCTAAACTATTTCATTTAGCCTATGGTTACACTAAATAAATCCCTGAGGTCTTAGATCTCCATTACAGAGCTAAACACTACATATGGTAGCAAAAGTGTTCAGTTGACCAACGTGAACTAGTTTTAGATGTTTTTCTAATACTCCGTCACTGGCAGAGGAACATGATTGGTTTCACTTGGTAATCTTCTTTGCATCTTTTGTTTAACTGCCTTTGGTTTAACTGCCTTTGGTTTAACTGCCTTTGTTTAACTGCCTTCTGTCTAACCACCAATCTCCAATAATTTAAAGTTTGGCTAGAACTATACATTTCTATTTTAAAAAATCAAAAAGAAACAACAATGCCCACAGCATTCTGAGCATAATATTCAAGAATCAAAACAAATATCCATAGGTACATAACTTTTTTGATAGATAAAATGCAAATACTTAGGCCTAGTGTATGTGGGAGGTAGAAAACCAGCATGAATTATTAAAACTTTCTTCAGAATATTATTGTTTTTGGTTTTCCTAGCACCAGAATCTAACACAAGGCCTTGTACCTAATAGAGACACCAAGTTACACATAATACATGTATGCTGACCTGAAATGACTTGGACAGGAATCTTATATTTATGAACAGGTACTTATCTATACAGTGATTATAAACTAATATCCTATAAATGGAATTGGCTTTACACATAGGTTGAGCTATGCTGCATTTCAGTCTAGTGATTCCTGAAACCTTACTACTCAGGGTTTCATTACATTGAGTTAAACAATTTATTTCCAAGAATGCTCTTAAAATACAAATATCTTAAATGCAACAACAAATGATGAGATACTCTTCCTGGTAGAGAGGTAGTGGACTACAGGTAGAGAATGTTGTAGAAGCTATTAAATGTAATTGCTATGATTATTCTTGTGTAATTCTTTTTTCTTTGTTACAAGAGGGGGGTAGGTATTGGGAGGCTTAAACAAGAAGCATCAATAAAACATCAAAACAAATACACGTAACCCCAAGCAGGTAGCACATTAAGACCCTACTACGTTATTGCGAATTATTTCAAACAATCAATTTCATTCCTAAGTTACAGGAAACACAGGGAGGGAAGCAGAAGAGTGTTTTTGTTTTGGGTGTTTAGAGGGGGAAGATGTGAGGTGAAAGGAATGAGGAATATCAGAACACCACCGACAAACTTTGTCCTTACTTCAATATTGCCCACATTTTCCTTGACTATAAGACATAACTACAAGATGTTGAGATGTACCATTTTAGGTTGGTTAAACTACATTTTCCACAATATTTTTAGACATCTATAGGGCAAAGTGAAGATAGAAGAATATATAGATAAATGAATATCTACCAGAAAAAAAACTAAGCATTATTAAACAAGAGAAACCAAATTAAGGTAATAGGACAAAAATGAAAAAAGGAGAAGATTATATTGCTTTTTCCAACTGTACTTCCTCTAAACTACTGAAGTTAGTATTTTAATAAGAGTTGGAATAAAAAAAGCTAAAGTGTAAACATAAAAAGATGTTAACAGGAAAAACTTTCCAACAATGACTGACAAAATCAACAAAATCCATAAATACAAGGAAGTAGAAATTAACTTTGTTTTGGTGGTTACTAGGACTTAAGTAGCATAGAGAAGGAAAATGCCCAAGAAATCACAATGAAAAGTTTTAAGGAATAAGACCTACAAAGAAAAAGACTCAAGTCATTGTGAGTGATTTATACACTATAATGGCTAGTCCATAGGTTAATAAATGTTGCTGATAGCCTCTGAAAATTTTCTATTAATCTAGAAAAATACTGTGGACAAATTTTGAATCCTAGAATATGAGGGCAAACATGTATAAAAGTTTCCATTGCAGTAAGACTGATCTCCCCTTCTGCCCCTTCCCTCTGCCATAAAGCATATCTAAGACAGTTGTGTGGTGTTTGATATTTTTTTTAATACATAGTAATACTTTGCTTAGACTATCTTTTTAAAAATAAAATCATGCTTTGCTTTATAGATTAAGATACAATTGATCTGATTAAATAAGTATCATAAAAGACCACAAAACGAATAAACTTACCTAAGTTTTCAGACACCACTGTGAATTCTTCAATTTCATCATCTGAATCATCTATTAAGGGTGTAAAGGCATATCTACACAAAAAGAGCAAAGAGCCATGTGAATACTGTGCTTTTATTAGTTTATATCTATTAAAAATATTTTCTTGTTCAAAATGTTCTCAACATAAAAAACACTAGTCCTTTAAGAAAAGTTTCTTTTTTTAAAATAACTAAGCTAAAAAATTAGAATGACCTAATAAGCTGTTAGAAAGTACAATCTTGTCCAGATTTATCCAGACACTGCTCTTTTAAAAAAAGCACAGATGACTGAAGAGGAATTGGAAATTAATTTGTTGATTTAAGAAATCAGGTGCTGGACTACTAGGTTTCTGGGACTTTTCCCAGGAAATGATAGTGAAAAAGCATCACTTTTCAACTAGCAAAAAAAAGTTTTATGAGCCCTGTCATATTAAGCTGGTATAATAACTCCTTCTTCATCAACCTGTCTCTGTCATGGAGGAGAAGTAGAAAATTTGTGAACTCTGGAGCTAAAGTTAATAGCATTAATCTTTCTAGACAATCAGAATTACCAGAAAAGCAAACTAAGGTCTTCCATGGAAGGGAAAAAAAATGTTAGAGCTGTAAGGGACATCAGAGATCACCCAATCTAACTGCCTTACTTTATAAATAAGAAAACTGAAACTCAAAGAGGTGAGGACTTACCAAACATAACCCAGTAAGTTAGCAGGGCAAAGATTAGAACCGAGGCCTCCTGCAACTCAGAGTCTAATGGTCTTTCACCTACACAATACTACCTCCTTTTAATTAGCCTGAGTATCCTAGGCAGGATAGCAAGCTCCTTCAAGGCTGAAACAACAGTTACAGCTAAGAGCTAAGCAACTCAGGGACGCTTCAAAAACAACTCAAAGTACCTCAAAATAGGAGACACCGAACTGAATCAAACCTAGAAGTAAAGGACAAAGCTAACCATTATAGTTTGACTCAAGTAAATCAACATTTCTAAGTTTCAATATTACAAAATCAAGATAACATGCAGTGAAAAAATGAAGTTAGTAAAAACAGTTAAAAAATTGGTGGAAAGATATTAAACCTTATCTGAGGCATTCATTTATTTTCAAAGTTCCTCTAAATTGATTCAAATGTGTGGAAATAAGAGCTATTCCCCAACTGATAAATGATTCATGAATATGAACAAGTAGTTTGCAAAAGAAATCCAAACTATCTATAGCCATATGAAAAATAATGTTCCAAATCACTAAATGCAATTTCATTCCGAGGTCTACTCATAAGATTGGAAAAGTTGACAAAAAAAAGAAAATGACAAATGTTAGCGAGGAGGGCCTATGTTTTTACAGGTACTTATAATGCATTGTAAGTGGAGCTGTAAATTGGTCTAACCATTCTGGAAAGCAACTTGGAAATATGTTCCAAAAGTCCAAAAGTTCCAAAGTCACTAAAGATGATTACCAGTTACTAGGCCTATGCCCCAAAAAAGATCAAAGAAAGGACTCATACATACAAAAATATTTACAGCGGCTCTTTTCATTGTATTAGAGAACTGGAAACTATGGAGTTACTATCAATTGAGGAACAGCTGAACAAATTATGGCATATGAATATAACTGTATAGTGCTGTGAAAAACTGATAAGGTGATTTTAGAGAATACTGGGAAAACTGTATTGACTGAAGAAGAATGAAGTGAATAGAACCAGTAGAACAATATATACAGTAACAACATTCTAAAAGCAAACAAACTTTGAAAGACTTAACAACTATGATCAACATAATGACTACTATTCCAGAGGCTAGATAATGAAGAATGTCATCTACCTCCTGACAAAATGGTAAACTGATCCAAATACTGAATGAGGCATGCCTTTTTGGACATGACCAATTTACAAATTTGTTTTCACTTGACTATGCATATTTCTTTCAAGGGTTTCATTTTTCTTTCTTTTTTTTTTCAATGGGGTAGAAGGGAGAGGTAGTGGGAGAGAAAGAAAACAAAAGCTTGTTAATAAAAAATAAAATTTAATTAAAAAGTGTAAGACCAGGATGCAGAATAGTTTTGGACAAGGGCATTGTGGCAGTTTGCTTTGTTGGACTATGCATATTGGTTACAAAGGTTTTTTTTTTTCTTTTAAATTAAGGGTTCATGGAAGGGAAAGAAAATAAATGCTCATGAAATGAAAAAAATCAAATAAAAAACAAATGTGATGCAAAAACAAAAGATATCAATAAAAATAAGATTAAAAAATTTTAAGACAAAAAAGTCTCCTAAAATGCTTACTGTTTTGTATTGTTTTAATTAAATTTTTTTCCTCATAAAAAGAAAGAACAGTATGCTTTTTTCAGATGCTCTGCAGTGCTGATATACAGAAACTTCATCAGACTACTGCCAGTAGCCCTAGGTTTTTGGTAGACAAATAAACCCCTTTTGGTAGCAAAGAATGAAAATGATGAAGTAACAAGTGACAGTAAAAGTATTTCTCTTATGGCAAATACATACTTTTTTCCTCCTAGATATAGAATATGATTTTGTTAAAATCTGGCCATAAAACACTACTTTTGCATATTCCAAATACCTCTGATTATTTGCTGATGGTCTCCATAAAAACATTATTACTAGAAGAATGAGAGAGAAAAGGAATCTCCAAAATGCATCGTCAACCCAGAGTTCCATCCAGTCCTGTAACAAGGAAGATTCAAAAACAGAAGCAACTTAATTCACTAAGAAACTAATTCACTTATGAAAGAAACTGATTAGTATTTTACTGTTATCAGCGTATGCTACACAAACAAAAAAGACCCAGAGCTCTCTCTATTACAGGGTACATTAGCCCAGAGCGATTTGCCCAAGGTGAAACAGAGAAAGTTAATGAATGAACTAGGTTTATATCAATCAATCGATAAACATTTATTAAGCATCTACTATCTGCCAGGAACTACGCTAAGCACCAGGGATACAAAAAAGAGGAGAAAGACAGTCTCTGCCCTCAAAGAGCTCACAATCTAATGAAGAAGACAACAGGCAAACAAATACACACAAAAAAGCTACATTCCAAATAACTAGAAAATAATTAACAGAGGGAAGGTACTAGAATTAAGATGGACTCAGAAAGGCTTGCCATAAAGGATGGGACTTTAGTTGGAGGCCAGGGAAGTCAATGGGCAGAGCTGAAAACAGAGTACATTCCAAGCATGAGGGACAGCCTGAAAAAATGTCTGCAGTGACTTCTTCATGGAACAACCAACAGGCCAGAGTCACTAGATCAAAGAGCATGTGGTAGAGAGTAGGATCTAAAAAAACTGGAAAGGTAGGAGGTGGCTCGGTTATGAAGGGCCTTGGCAAAAGACTGGATATAAGAAGTGAGAGATAACGAGGAGTCAAAGATGACTCCTACGTAGTGAGCCTGAAGGACTGGGAGGATAGTGCTGCCCTCTATAATAATGGGGAAGGTAGGAATGGGGAAGGGTTTAAGGGGGAAAGATAATTCTGATTTGGACATACTGAGTTTAAGATGTTTAGTGGACATTCAGTTCAAGATGTTTGAAAGGCAGTTGGAGATGCAAGACTGGAGGCGGCAGAGAGATTGGGGCAGGACAGGTAAATGTGAGAAACATCAGCATAGAAATGGTAATTACATCCACAGGAGCTGATGATATCACCAACTGAAGTAATATAGAAGGGGAAGAAAAGAGGGCCCAAGACAGAACTCTTGAAGGATCTAAATTATAGGGGCATGATCTTTTAAAGTACATTTAATTTATATCTAAGTTAGCATTGTCATTTATCAAGATCCAATCCTTAATACAAAATTCCTAATGCAAACTTTTTTTTCCAGGCATTCTAGCTTCAGTGTTTAAGGGTCTTTAAGCAAGAAGCTGTGTGGGACAGCAGAACAACTACAGTCCTAGCCCTGCTACTTGCTGGCAATTGTGTGACACTGGGCAAGTCACTTCCCCTAAATGAGCTTCAGTTTCTTCAACTACAAATTGAAAATAATAAAACTAGCAATACCAACTACAACCCAACTTTGTCAGGATCAAAGGAGAAAACGGATGTTAAGCATAATGCAACTTTACATTTTACTTCTATAGTTGTAAAAGCCTCTAGTTTGGGAGAAGTTGGTAGAACTCTGGACTTGAAGTCAGGAAGACCTGAGTTCAAATGTAACTTTATACACTTACTGTGTGACCCATGGCATGCTGCTTCACTTATCAGCCTTATATAGATAATAGCACTGACTTCCCAGGATTGTAGTAAATTAAAATGCAATTCTCCAAAGACAGTATTGCTACACATGCATTTAAATAAATCTGATTCTTAAAATTCTTTCCCTACTGATGGTAGGATAATCAAATGAAATAATATTTATAAAGTACTTAGCATAGTTTTTGGCATGTGGTAGGTGCTTTATAAATCATTCCTTATCTCCCTTCTTCCCTCCTTTGCTTCCCTCCCTCCTTTTCCCCCCTTTTTTTTCCTCCCTTTCTCTACCCTTCCTTTCCTCCCTCCTTACTTCTTCTCTTCCTCCCTCCCTTTGTCCCTTCATTCTACAAGGAGAATGCAACATTTATTTAATTTATATTTTAACAATTAAACATTGTACTTAAATGGAATTATACTTACAGACTGACATTCTGCTAATCTAAACTTTTTAGTTGTCCATATCATAAATACTATAGAAGCTGAAACAAAGAAAAGTTATCTTTAAAAGAATGATCAATGTTAAAAAAAATCAGCATAATAAAATTAATTAAATAGCTTACCCAATATAGCAAAAATCAGAGTATTTGTGAAGTGTCTGTAGAGTGAAAATTTCACTGTGTTCTTTCTTAGTTTTAGGGTCTTCATAGTTTGTGCCAAACTTACAAATATGTACACACACATACTAAGGAAAGTAATTTTTTTTAATAATAGAGAAAGAGAATAAATAAGCCAAAACTCAAATTTCTACTTTTATTCCATTCTAAAATAATTCCAAATTAAAATACCTATATTAAATTGTTCTTTTAATAGTAAAACGTAGGAAATGCTATTAAAGCAAGTAATTTCATCTCAATTCCACTTTTCTCATGTTAATGTACAACTCAGTGCTATCTTTAAATGAACATTCTTAAAGATATGAAATGAATAAAGTTTATGACCACATTTTTTAATGTTTCTGTGCTTCGTCTTGGGAGAAATAAAGCACTATGTAAATTCAAGTTGATTTCGTTATCCAGAATTAGGCCTTTTTTGTACAAGTCACTGGGTGCAAGTGCCACACTCCCTGGAAGGGGCTACACTCATGTGAGTAGAACTTGTCTTCAGAATCACAAGAGTTGAGAGACAGAAGGGACCTCCTTGACCTTCTAATCCAAGCCACACACAAAAGGAATCTCCACTGAAACAGTTTGTCTAGTCCCTACTTGAAGACCTCCAAAAACGGGGAAAACACCACCCCTAGAGGAAGCCACTTTTGGAAAGCTTGAAAAGCGAAATGTCCTTCCTTCAGGAGATGAGATTCCCCTGCATGTAGGTCTTCCAGTAGAGCCCGGATGGTTATTTGTCATGTGTGTTATCGTGGGGATTCCTACTATGCTATGTGAAGTATGGGTCAAACCAGAATGCCACTGAGGATCCTGTGATTCTAAACACAAGTTGTACTAACAGATATGTTACAGTCTACAGGAAGTATGCTATATGTACTATGGTGTGGTGTCCAAAACAGATTTAATTCTATTTATGTAACAGTGTCACCTAGCATTTAGAAAGGATTTTTTTCAAAGTCTAATTTGTGTAGCTGCACATTACCCACCTGTCCTACATAGGTCAAATATTATCTCTGCTTATATATAAAAAATTAAGTCCAACAAAATAAAGTGACTTTCCAGATATCAAAGATACAGTTAGGCCTAGATAGAATCCAGGCTTTCAAATTCCCAGACCATGCCTTTTTATAATAGGTTACATTAGGTAGTTTCATGTATGAATTGCTCACTGGCCATATAAAAACAGGATCTCCCAAATTAAGCTGGTAAAGCTTACAACTGCAGTAAGACTTCAAGGATACGTTATATTTACCTTTATTAAAATGTTTCCTACAAAGACAGTTTTAGGGAATAAAATCACAAAGCAGTTAATTTAGACTCAAAAACAAACAAAAAAAACTCATATTCTACTATACACTTAAAACTAATGCTTAATATTTTAAAGGACCAACATATTCCAAAGGCAAGACTAAAAATAAATTAAGCTTTGCTTCTATGTGTCAACCAACTTATATTAAAGTCACACAATATAACATCTCCCAACATAACTTAGACTTTCTAAACACCTATGGTAGAAGAGCTGACTAAAAACACCTCAAATTTTTCTATCAGGAATTAAAAGGGCATATGACAGGCCAAAGAACACAAGAAAAGAAGTAATTTAATTCAAATTTGAAACTGACAGAAAAGGCATTTATCATTAAGCAGTTATAGTATTTGGGCAAAATTTAAGACACTATTCAAAAGTCAAGTGAAAGGAGGAAAATAAGCTGGTGCAATAAACAGGAACAAAGCAATAACTCATATTAACATGCTTGCTGTAGTTAGAAAAAGGATATCCACCAGCATAAGCCAGAATCAAGCAAAGCCAAAGGGATGCTGGCCAAAGGAACAAGATCAGATTCTTTTGCCTGCATCAAAAAAGCCAAAAGTCTGAGTCACAAATATATATGTGCTAAAATCATTAACTTGACTTTTTCAGAATTTTTTCTTCCCGCCCAGCTACTAGCTAAACTGGATTTGTTAAAATTAACTCAAACTCAGGTATGCTGAATTACATTTTTTTTACCCAAGCAGTCTTATCTCTTTGTTGTTGTCATGACGCCACTTATTTTTCTTGGCAAAGATACTGAAGTGTTTTGCCATTTCCTTCTCCAGCTCATTTTACAGATAAGGAACTAAAGGAAACAGGGTTAAGTGACCTGCCCAAGGTCACACAGCTAGTAAGTGTCTGAGGCCAGATTTAAACTCAGGAAAATGAGTCTTCCTGACTTCAGGCCTAGCACTGTATCCGCTACACCACCTAGATGCCCTAATCTTAACTCTAGATATAAACTATTCAATATTCACTTTATAGTTCATAGCCAGTTAGAAAATTCATTAGTTCTATACAATGATACAATAAAATATTCATTTCCATGAAGCGAAGGTATAACTTTAATATTTGACAATGAAAACAGAATTATCTATCCAACCAGAAAATAGCATTTTGGAAATCCAGGCTCATAATTTGGATTTCTCTACCACTTATTTAATAATTCAAAGCAATTTTAACTTCCAGATGTTTCTCATAACTATTCCTTCATTTTTTATAACCATCTGTATGATATAAATTTACACATTAGGTTTTTTACCTTTGAATTTGAGCCATGAGGTTTAATACCTTGCTTTCAGAAATGGGGGAATTTCTATGCTTTATATGAAGGAAGTATGTAATCCTGTCTAAAACATCAAAATGTAATTATAGTTATCAGAATCTGTGCTCCAAGTTTTCTGACAAAAGGCATTAAAGTTACTTTCCCTGTTGGTACTACATCTTATGGGTATTTTTTTAAATTTTTTATTTCTATAGTTCAGCCTATAGTTTTTTCCTTAAGAAAAAGCCATGCAGATTAAAAATCCTTTAGGTCCACTGCCTACTGTTCCCCTAAAGACCTAGCTCAACTTTTAGAGCCCCTAAATATTGTATATGTGCATTACTTTAAGACTAGGCAGATTCCAGAAAAAGATGAGAAGTTTTAGTATAAAATTATGTTGAGGAAAGATGAAAAGCTTCAAGATTTGTTGAGTAAAGCCAAAGCAACAACAAAATTTATCTGCAAAAGATTTTTGTCTTTTATTTTTTATCTTTTATATGTAAAGCTGGCTAGCTTTTCTAATTAATGAAATTATGCCAGCTTATGATTTCATAGCATCCTGGGATCAAATGACATGTCTGAAATATTTTTGCTGAAGTGAAATGCCACAAATATCTAGCATTTTTAGATAAAAGAAATAGTAAAATTAAAGTAGGGTATTGAATCACACTGGCATCTGAAAAGATTCCCTTTAGATATGAAAATAAGATCCAGTAACAGTTGGCATTAATAAGAAATAGCAACATATTCACAATACAAGAAGCTCTGAATTCTACACAAGTAGGCCCATCCACCTCTTTACTTCAATCATTAAAGGACATATAACTCTGTCAATGAAAGTATATCCTTTACCAATAGCTTGCCACTTTTAAGATTTAGCAGACATTGATATGGCTCAAAAGGTCATCATCCTTCAGACAATCTGGTAACGAGTCTCTCTTTACTATGCCTGAGTAATCCTTGGATGACACACAGAGGATCATGGAACCCATAATATCAAAGTCCTTCTAGTCTGGCAGACCCTGCTAGAAACTGATATCTGCTGGCATGGATTTTAATAACCTAAGGTCACTTTCATTACATAATGAGGCATCATAGAAAGAATACAGTAATTTAGATAAAAGAAAATAATAGCCCATTTTATCATAAATTTTATAAGTCACAAGTCTTATTTTTTTCTGAGACAGGGAAGGGGGATTTGAGAGAGATCTGTGATTTTTCAAACAAAATTTTTAGCTAGAAAAAACCTCTTAATTATCTTAATTCCTTAAAACTCAAGAGCCATTTATGAAATCCAGAAATATAACATTAATGATTCACAGATTAGAAATTGAAAAAAAGAGGCAAAAGAAGCAATGATTACTGAAATAAAAAGATAGTAAACATAAGCTTGGGTCCATATCAGGTACTTGGAAACAGAACATGAGTATATGTAAATTTCATATTGACAGAAAACACTATAGAAAATCAAATGAGAAGAAATAAATATATGTTCCGAAGTAGTTATTTATTCTAGGAATCCTGTTATATCACAGAATTTTTAGAAATAGAAAGACCTTTAGATCTGTATTAACCCAACCCTCTAATTTTATAGATAATGAAATTGAAGCCCAGAGAGGCTCACTAGCTTGTCCAAGGTCACACAACTCTGTGTGGCAGAAGGGGAGATAGGAGCCAGCTCTCCTTTCCATGGCTGTTTTCACTGTTTAGTCACTGATTTGAGCTCAAGGAGCCTCAAAGGATAAACTAGTAGTAAAACCTTCTGTCTCCAAGTAGGTCTATATTAACTCTTTTTGTTTGATAATTCTACATCTACAATTTTTCAGGTCAGGAATTTACAGTTTCTCTTGTTAACCTCTTTGTCAGAAACCTTTTCTTACTTTTAAAACTACATCTTTCTACCCACTGACTCTCTTCTCAGAGCAAAACATTTTCATTCTACCTTCCACTACATTCAGCTGCTAAAAATGGCCACACTCTGTTAAAATTCCTTCCAAGTTCTAAAGTAGCATTATAGTCTCATTTTCATGACCACTAGATATCACAATCTCCCCTCTCTTTGATTTTTATAAAAAGAGAACACACAGTAAAGGATATGAACCACGCAAAAATGGAGTCAATGACTGCTAAAATAATGTCACAAATGAGAACAGCTACATGGCTAGAACCCTAAAAAACAAAAATGGAAAAATCACTTCATAATGACACAGAACAATATAAATGATCATTCTAACCTGGGGGGTGGGAGGAGGGGCAGGAGGAGGAATAAAACCAGTTCTACATCTGACCCTAGTGTCCTTCCTTCAGAGGACATAAGATCCCTCTGCTTGTGGGTCTTTCAGCAGAGCCCAGATGACCATTTGTCATGTATGTTATCATGGGGATTCCTACTATGCCGTGTGAAGTATGGGTCAAACCAGAATGCCACCAAGGATCCTGTGATTTGAACACGGAAGTCATACTGACAGATATGTAACAGTCTACAGTAAGGATGCCATAAACACTATGGTAGGGTATCCAAAACAGATCTAACTATTTATTCTATTTATGTAACAGTGTCACCAAGCATTTACTTCATGAATAATATCTTTTATGCCATTTCTTTCTTGCAAATTATCACTCAATAATCCCTCCCAGGTATACTGACCTAGAAAACAACAAATTAATATTACCTATGTTGTATTCTATTTTATTTATTTTGTTAAATATTCCCCAATTACATTTAAATTGGGACTTGGGAGTTCTGCAGCCCCACTTAAAAGAGTTTGATAACCCTACTATAAAGGACCTGAGTTCAAACCCTGCCCCCAAAATTTATTACTATGTGACTATTGGCCAATTATAACTTCTCTAGGCTTTAGTTTCCTCATCTAAATAATGGTGATAATATCTGTAAGGCCAACATTATAGAGCTGCTGTGAGAATCAAAGAAAATACACAGGATGTCTGCAAATCTTAAAACCTCTATGATTTGTTCAGTATTTTTACTTAAATCCAATTCTTCATGATCCCATCTGGGATACTGGAATGGTTTGCCATTTTCTTCTCCAGCTCATTTTACAGATGAGTAAAACGAGGTAAATAGGGTTAAGTGACCTGTCTAGGGTCACAGCTAAGAAGTGTCTGAGGCCAGATTTGAACTCAGGAAGATTAGTCTTCCTGCCTCCAGGCCTGCACTCTATCTACTGTGCTACCTAGCTGTCCTAAAATCTATATACAAATTAGTTATTAATATGTGGCAACACACACACACACATCGATTTCTCCCTAACTAGAAAAAAATTTAAATAACTACACTGAAAGATGAAAACGCCAATTGGGTTTAATTCAGAATGCTACTTATAACAAGACTAACATGAAAATGAACAATGTCATTAGAAACTTAAGACACAATTCCTATTCCCAAAGAGTTATAAACAAGAACAAAGAACTGAGGAGCTTGTTTCTAAACAATACAGAGGACAGGGAAAACTCTTTAGTGACCTACACTGAACATGTGATCTATTCTATGATCTTTCTACCACAGCCCAGTATCTTATCTAAGTTCAAGATATAAGTCAAAAAGCTCAAAAGAACACTTTTACTCTCAGGAAGAATAAAGTATTTATTTTTAAAAAATGAAAGAAGGGTTTGAAAGAAAAAAGAATCTGAAGAAGCAAATTAGAGTACTAATCTGTGGCAAGAAGTCCAAGGGCAGATTAACAGGATACCAAATTGAAAAATACAAGTGTTCTGTGGTCCTTCTTCCCCAAGCAGTCATTTTGGAGCTTTACCTGCAGGACCTAAACTCTCTAATGAAAAACCTATTTGACCTTCATGAAATAATGATATCTATCCATCCACCAAAGATCAGAGGACGCCAGGCACAGGGTGAATGACTGTCTCCTATGGGGTCAAGGGGCAACTATTTGTGCACCTAATCACAGGAAAGAGATCTATCACCTTCCTTGGGTTCAGTAAACCTGATGGCTAATCCCAACTTCTGGAGACTCAGAAGGGCACAAGTGACTCTGCTAATAGGAATCCAGAAAGGCTCACTTAGAATTAGACTTTAGGCAAGAAAACCTTAGGGACACAGGCAGCATTTTCATCACTACTACCAATTGAAGGCAAAGCTTCAGAGAGAAAATGAAGTTTGGGAAACAAATATCAACTTAATAAGATGCCACGTGAGAATATAAATTTTGTATTTCTGGATAATGGCTTAAATGATAGGAATGACAGGTTCCTGGCCAAAGATTCTGTCCAGAAAGGCCCAGGGTAAGCACCTGGACTCTTGCACAGCTAATTAAAAGTGTTTTAAACAGACAAGGAAAAAGGGATGAGAAAAAATGCCTATGTATATCTACCAAGACAGATATCAGAAAGAATAGGTACAAGAAAGGAAGAAGCAATAAAGATGCCTAGAAGTTCACAGGAGACAAAGTCCAAGAAAAAAGCCACAATAAAACTAATGACTTCATATGCCTATGCATATGAGGCAGGTAAGTGGCACAGTGGGCAGTGTCCTGAACCAGGAGTCAGCAAGACCCAAGTCCAGCCTCAGACACTTACTACCTTTGTGATCTTGGACATATTACTCACCCCTGTCTGCTTTGGTTTCCTCATCTGTAAAACAGAGTTAATAGTAAAACCTACCTACTAGGGTTGTTGTGAGGATCAAAATGAGATAATATATGTAAAGCACTTTGCAAACCTCAAAGCGCTATATAAATGCTAGCTATTAATATTTTATGTCCAATGTGTGGGTAAGTAAGGTAAACTAGAGGTAAACAAGGTAAACTAGGGAACTTAGCACAAAGAAGAAAATTTGACAACATAGGTATCACTGAGTCATGGTAAAAGACATGGGAATATGGCTTTTTGAATATATTCAAAGGAAAAAGATAGGAAAAGGGGAAATAGAGGAGGTGCAGAGTAGCACCATCTCTTTAAAAATGTGTTCAGTTAAGAAAATCTAAAGGACCAAAAGAGAAGAGAGTATGGCTGAAGATGAAAAGCAGAAACAGAAACAACGCTATCCACAGACATCAGTGAGCACCAAGAGAGAAAAAGGAAATAGATGGGTTCAAAGAAACAAAAAAGATCACAACTCTAGGGTATGATTTAATGATGATTAGAAACTAGAGCTCCATCTCTGCCAGAACTCTTTTAGTGATAATTTCATCCTTTAAAATAGGAAAGAGACAATGAAGGAAACATTTATTTTGCACCAGATCCTCACCAACAAGGAGGAACTCATTTCTAGTTGGGAATTATGGAGGGAATATGGTCACTTCATCTTAAAATTTGTGACAGAAAAGACAGAGAGGCTCTGTTAGGAGTTAGTCCAAGAAGGGCAAATCATTAAAGAACTTGTTAACAGTAAATACTATAGACACAAATACAAAAGCAAAGCAATTCCTATACTCAAGGGGCTCATATCCTACTAACGAGGTAAGGAAACTCAAGAATAAAACATTAAAGAAATGAAGGGGGAGAAAGCAATTCTAATCAGGAGAAAAGAGGGTAAATTATATAGAGGCCAATGGAAACTAATCACCAACTAACAATTTTTTTTTTAAACCGTAGAGATGACGAAAGTCAGGGCGGGTAGTATGACAGTCTTGTGAGAATGTCAGGAAAATTGGAATTCAGAATAAGCTGAGACTATTAAGAAAAAAAAAAGTACAACTAAAATGGATGTTTTTTCCCCCATCAGAGAAAGAGAAAAATCAAAGAAAAGGGAGAAGGGGAAGGGAAAAAGTATTTATTAAGCACCTAATATGCACCAGGGACTGGGCTAAGTGCAGTCTTACAAATATCTCATTTGACCATCATAACTACTTTACGAGGTAGCTATGGGTAGACCCATGTTAGGGTCAAGGCAGACAGAGGTGAAATGTCTTGCCCACGGACCTGAGGCTGCATGTGAACTCGGGTGTTCCTGGGTCTACACTCAGTGCTCTCTCTACTACACTACCGAGCAGAAGGGATAGTGTCACTGCCACTCAACTTTCACTGTTTCCTCTGCCAAGAAAATCACAGGAGATCCAGTTCTTCTGCCTATCTTTTCTCTACTAAGAAGAATGTTCTTTGCACTATAAAGTGCATAAAAAGAACAGGAAGCATTTCCTGATACTTGCTTTCCTCCCAAAATGATTACATATGCACTTATATATTTATATGTTGTATTCTCAGTAGAATATAAGCGCCTTCAGGGCAGACTGTTTCTCAATTTACCTTTGTAACCCTAACACCTTCCAAATGAATGGATGAATGAACATTGCACAGAGGAGTCACTTATATACTTGTTGTATTGAAAGACTAAGTAGAGGAAGGGTCAAAGGAGCCCTACCTGCATGTGATGCATTCAGTTCACCAAGCCTGGATGAGCAACATCCCCAGGAACTAAATAATTAGCAAATGTGACTGAAGGGTTGCTTGTCAGTGATCTCTGCTGGAAGGGCACAGGACTAATGAAGTGCAAATACCGTTCTGATTTTTTTAAGAGACTAGAGTCTTAAAACTACAGACCCCTGAGATGACTTCTAATCCTGGCCAAATTCTAGAATATATGAAAGACATGGCTAGTGAACACATAGAAAATGAAGTGATGGTCCCATAAAAAAAAACCAAGAAGGTTTCACCAAGAACATGCCATACCATTCCTTTTGCAGAAGGGTTACTACACTGGCATATCAGGAAATTCTAGAGATATATTCACTGATTTTTTTCAAAGTCTATCATGTTATTCTTGCGGATAAATGTAGGCAAGGTGATAACACAATGAGGTAGCTACAGAAGTAGCTATACTCAAAAATAGTTATTAATGGTTCCAGTTCAATGTCAACTTGGAAGGAGATGGCTAGTGGAGTGGTTGTCCCTGTACTACTCAACATTCTTATCAATGATCTGAATAAAGGAATTAATTGCACGCTTATCATATATAGAAAGTACACAAAGATCTTGATAGGCTAGAACACTGGGCTATATCTAAAAAGATGAAATTTAAGAAGAATAAATATATAATTCAGCTAAAAAAATCTAATGGGTCAGGCCATGTACTATCAGTAAAAACTGCTAAAAAAATAATGTTCAAAAATGCTCAAATGCATGCAAATAATATTTAGGTTGTCCATTTGATTAATAATTTTCAAGGTTTATATGGGAAAATTAAGAATCCAGACTATACAATGTCAAAGGCAAAATGTTCTGTGAAGTGAGTATCATAACTCTTAAATTTTGTTTTGAATAGCAAACATTCAATATTCTTTGTTTTTACATACCACTATATGTGAATCTACAAACATATATCTTTGAAAACATAATAAAAATCAAATGAAAACTATTGTACAAGCTTTCAATTCACATGCAGTTTTTTTAAATACAAGTCAGATAGATTTCAATTGCTTCCGGTCAAAAAGCACTGTAAAAGTTTCAGAGCAAGGAGTAATGTTATGTAGTCTTTAAAATATCAAATTAGAACAAAAGAATACAGGGTGTTTCAGATACACATCAAATGTGTAAAGACAATTTGTACCTACAAAAACTTTCAAACTCAACTATGTTCTACATTAGTAAGTGCTTTATCCTGTTCTTTGTATGCTCAGGAAAAATAGTAGCAATTTTTAAAAATGAAAATATTACATAAGCAGAAATGTCTAGTTAATCCAGATGAAACTTTTTGTAAATTTGTACAATTAAAAATACATAAAAGAATATTAAACTATGTAAATTCATTTCTGGAGAAACTCACCAAAAGATATGACAAAGTAAAACACGTTTTAAAAACAATTTTTTAAAAAGTTACCACTTTTTACCCCAATAATTCTCATAATGCCTTCAATAGCTGCAAAAATGAAGTAAAGAGCACCCAGTCCGATCACTCGATGCATAACTGTTCCTAAACGGGGTCTGAATCAATGAAACGAGAAAAACAAAGCATGAGTAAGGTAAAATACAACTGAAGAAAATATAGTGGGTACAATTTTTTAGTAACAAGTCATCATCTAATTACACATAAGCAGTTCCCAATTTTCTTCTTCCTGCGGTTGCCTTTTTCAGCAATAGATGGCAATCAGGTCTTTGAAATAGAGACCCAATGAGTTAAGGAAGCAAAAGAAAATTGTTTATGCAGATTAAGTCTACAGATTAAGGAAGCAGATCCTAAAACAGAACAAAGAATAGATAGATAACAGTGAAATGTCTGTGTTTTTTTAAAGCACCGTTCAGAGCAGATTAAATGAAAATTAAAAGAATGCAAAGCAATGGCTGTCTGGATATGATGGGTTACAATTCTGCTATTAAGCAGAAGTAGGCCTGGTACTTCTCTGAAGACTGTCAGTAGGATTCATGATGTGGTCTGGGCCTCAGCTAATTTTATAGACAAAAACTTAAGGTTAAGATGAGGCCCATGGTTACACAGGTTAGTAAGTGATAGAGTCAGAATTCAAATCAAAGTCCTCCGACTTCAAATCCAGCTTTCTTTCCTCTGTACCACCCTCTTTTCTTGACTCAAGGCTAGAAATGACCTTAGAGATCAGCTAAGTCCAATGGCTTTTTTTTACAAACGAGGAAATTGAGGCCTACCCATATGAGAATGCTCTAGCTCCTGGCACACTGAAAGCACTTAATGATTGTTAACTAACTTGCACAGGTAGTAAAGCAGCAGAGGCAGCATGTGAACCCAAATTCAATCCTCTTTCCACTGTACCATGTCACCTCTTTTTAGGAGAATCAAGGCAAAAGGAAAAGAGGAAAAAATATTTAATCCATTCCTCACATTCACATTTAAGACAACAGGACAACTGGAGAAACAACATACCATCACAAATGCTACAGTTTCCACATTCCTATGGCAGACATGTTTCCCACCGAGCATAATCTACAAGGCCTCACAATCTGGAGAACCTCACTGCCCTCATCAGGATACAGCACTCAACAAAAAGGAAGGAAGAGGCAGGGGGAAAAAAACAGGAAATGTTGAAGTGCCATAGTTTAAAAATATACATAGAAAGTATCTTGTTTTAATATATGGTTACATATAGCTATAGAAACTCTTTCACCTTAGCAAACTGCAGAGATTGTGGACAAGAAAAATGATTGATTTTATTAGTTATTCCCCAAGATATATGAGTTGGGGACAGAGTAAAATTTAAAACATTAAGTCTATCATTGGAATAGTGGCAACTTAAAAAAAATTCAAATAAATTGTAAAAACAGAATTAAATTCAATTACCCTGAGCCAACAAATTTAATGGTACTGATATTTTTTCAGGACACTCAACACCCACCCATCAGAGCTATTTTATATGAAATAAAATTATGTTTTGCAAACTACCAAAATGCATTTTAAGAAAAAATTAGTTAAAAATGAAATCTAAAATAGCATAATATTCATACTTAAAACTCTGAAGCCATAATTTCAAGTGACTTAATAGAGATTTTGAGATCCTGGATCCAAATTAATGTGGAACCAAAATTCCTTTCCCACTCTGACTTTTTATATAGCATAATGGACAGAGTCAGGCTCAGTCAAGAATCAATCAATAAGCAATGAGTAAAAGCCTATTGTGGGCCAGGTACTGTATGAGGCCTTGATGATACAAAGAGAATAAATGGAACCCTTCTCAACTTGTAAAGAGCTTACATTCTAAAGGAAGACCTGAGTTCAAATACTACCTCTTCACACCTACTAGCTGTGTGACCCTAGGCAAGTCACTTAACCTCTCAGTGCCCCAGTGGACTCCCTAAGACTATAAACTGCTATTATAGATGGAGATTCCTCACTGAGAACTTCCTGCACTGATAAAATCACAGATCCAGCTAAACAACAACCAAAAAAACTACCACCCAACTTCAAAACAGGTGAATACAAATTGACAAGAAATTTATTCAAAAAAGTATCTTCTAATATGTAAGGTATGTAATATCTTCATTAGAATCAATAAAATTCAAACACTTATTTCCCTGGGAGAAGTAGAATCCCTTTCTCCCAAGTGTAACTTGGGGCTGTACTGCCTAGGTTCTGAGGGCGATGCAAAAAAAAAAAAAAAAGTAAGAAAAACTATCCTTGCCCTAGTATAGGAAGTAACATGGAATAAAACATGCACGCAAATATACAAAAAAGCTTGATGAAATAAAAGCACTAAAATAAGTGGCAGGTTTTGGAGGAGGGAGTTTCTCTCACACAGCTTTATCTATGAAGATTACATTAGCAATGTGGAAACAGGAAGATCAGTTAAGAAACTATTGCAATAGACCAAGCCAGAGGTAAAGAAATCCTTAACTAAATGGTAATGAGAATGAAAAGGAAAGGCAGATACAAAAGAATAGCAGATACCACAGGATTGGGAATGAATTAGAGGATGAGGGAGACTGAGTCAAAAGTGATTCTAAGGATTTAAGTCTGATAGAGAAAGTGTTGGCACTATTAAATGGAAAATTCAGGGGCAGGATGGTTGTAATAACACCTAATACTTACTTCACAATGCCATAGCCCAAGCTCACAATAATAACCAGGAGGCGTGCTAATGTCCTCTTAATTGCAGAAATCAACTCAGCAAACATTAATAAACCTTGGGCTGAAAAGGAAACAAATCACTTCTGATACAAAATAGTGATCTAGAAGAAATTCTCCATATTCAAGATTTCCCATTTCTTCAAATACATTTGGCCAACCCTTTCTCAGATTTGGAATCTATGAGCCCTCGTGGGCACAGTAACCTTTTTTAGAAATGAAAAAATGCCTGCATGTGAATAGTATACAGTTGCAATGCTACTAAAATAAAGTGGATTCTTTGTTATATTGAAAAGAGAAAGGGAAAAGTAAGCAAGCAGAAAGAGGGTCACTAATTCAAAAAATCTCTTAAGTTTCACCAACAAAAAATTCTTTTAACTAATAAGCTACTCTTTGGGAATATAAATACACATAGAAAATTAAGTCAGCAGGGATCCACAACAGTGAATTGGAATTTTATTTAATTAAGGGATGGGAACAATAAAGGAATCATAAGATTCCAGAATTTTAGAATTAGAAGGAACTTAAGTGCCATCTAATCCAACTGAAACCTAAAGAATTTCCACTACGACATACCCAACAAGTGGTTAATCAAGCTCTGCATGAAAAGCTACAATGGTGGGGAAAGTATGCCAACATAGATCCAACTCCTACTCAAAGGACCATGTGGTTCCCCTTCAACTCCTTCCTTTCCCATATTTACTATGATGACTAACAGAAATCAAAAGGTCTCAAGAACCCACCCAGCCAAATGCTTCATATACCATTTATGTAATAGATCAGCAACTTACAAGACAGTCCTGTGGTATTGACATTTTGATATTCTGCATAAAATACTGCTTTTTCCAGCATTCCCAGGAAAATAACAGCAGCAATCCAGAACTGAATCCTTAATAAATCTTTCCAATAACAGGCAGACCACATTAGCCAGAGCACACCATATAAAATGTAAATAATGCACATCACCATGTAAAACTGCAGAAAGAAAAGGAGTTTTAGATCATGTAAGCCTTAATTCTCTTAAGGCTGGCTTTCCTCTGTCCAAATGTCATTCTAAGTTATTTACTATTTTTTGGTACTTTAGAAACAAAGATGGATAAGTACCGACAAAATAAGACACCTGATGAGAGATTCTAGGAAAGCCATTTCAACTCTCAAGGCCTTAACTAACTCATCTGTAAAATGAGAGAATTAGAGGAGATTATCTCTCTTTTGCTAACATTAACATTCCACCATTTGTTAGTTTCCATTTATTCTCCTACTTACAATCATTAAAGGCCATTCTGATGCAGATATATATCCATGAAGGCCCACCATCGAAAGAGAAACTGGTGGGAAAAAAACAGATAGGTTTTCTATCAATTTCTTTTGTTAAGCTATTTAAAACACACCCATTTTTCTGATGACAGAGGTCCCTGTACATCCTCCTCCTGTAGCTCTACCCTTCTATGTGTACTATAATCTCCAAGGAGAACATGAGCTCTTAAAGAGGAAGGACTATCTGGCCTTTCTAACTTTATAACCAGTACATCGTTTCCCACATGACAAATACTTAATACTTTTTCATTCATTCAAATGAACAAAAACCTATACCATATTTCATCTAACACAATGGTAGATAAAAGACTACAGTATTCAATAACTACTTATGTGACAGATTAATTCAATAATCTGACCCATGCTAGGTCAAATGACTTGAGCCAAATTTGCTTATAACCAGATAGCTATATCATTTACAACAGGAGGCATAATCTGGCATTCTGGAGGCCTAAACCTAAAACAGGAGGCTTTAGAGTTATCTATTTCATGTCTATGCCTCATCTTCAAATGATGAGACCACGCTTTCAGTCTTGTCCTTTTGGATCTCTCACAGCAGCTAATATAACGTTGTCAATGCTTTTCTATTCTTAGAATATTCAATAGCTGAGGATAGGTAAAAGAGAATAAATATTTGAAAAACTAGCTGAAGTAGACAAGCTAGGATTAGCAGAAAGCCTCCTAATCTTCAAAAACCTCAATTTTCACCCATTTTTTAATACTGTACTCTTCCTATCCCAGAGTAAAAAGTGGCAATGAGAAGAGCCAAGATTAAACTATTTACTTGTTCTCCTTAATTCTTTCAGTCTTTTTATTCATTCATCTCATCTCTCGCCTTCCTTTCACTACAAAAGATTAGTTTATACTTGCTGCTTTTTATTTCTTACTATCTACTGACTCTTCAGACTCATGAAACCTATTCAGAATCATGATCTGGCTTTTATCCACATCAGCTCTGATTGCTTCTTTTATCTGTATTTCTGGCTGCTTTTTCCTCCTTTCACCCCTATATGTTGGTGTCACTGAAAAAAACTGTCCTCAGTATTCTCTACACCTCAAGAGGGCTGACTTCCAAACCTTCCTGTTCAGTCACAAGTTCTCCCTTGCACTCCAGACCACAAGCTCCAATTGCCTCCTAGGTATCTTGACTCTCATATCTTACCTGGACCTAATTCAAACTGAGCATGTCCAAAACCAAACGATCTTTTCCCAAAACCTATCCTTGCTCCGAACTTGAGTACTTCCGCTAACGGCACCAGATTCTCAATCATCCAGACTTAAAACTTACTCCTTTTCCCTCGCCATAAGCAGTCAGTCACCAAGTCCTGTTGGTTCTATCTATTAGATTTCTCACATCTGTTCCTTCCTTTCCATTCCCACTGTCATTACATTAACCCATTAACTCTCACCTAGAACATTGTTTTTGGTTCTCAACTAGTTTCCAGAGCCCTAGCCTCTTCCTGGGCCAATCTAACCTACCTACTCTTCATAATACTCTTCTTAGGGGACAGCTCTAATCATGTCACAGTAGAGTTTGAAGATTTTTAATAGTGTTACCCTCCCTGCCTACCAAACAAGATACCAAATCCTTAACCAAACACAAAAGGCCCTGACATACTTTTTGGCCTTATTTCCACTGTTTTTCTTCTCATGCTTCATGCTAGAACCAAAAGAACCACATTTCTTTTGACTACATATCCAATACTTTGCTGCTGTCATGCTTCTACCCTTTGCTCCCACCTATACACCCCAATATCCCCCCACTGAAAGTCTTCTCATGCTTGAAAATCCAGATCAAACCAAATGTCCATTCATCCACTAAAGTTGTCATTCATTGTTCCTCCAAGTCAAATGGGATCTCTCCTTCTTTCGCTCTCTCAGAATTACAGGATGAAGAGTTGGAAGAGACCTCAGAGCCCTATTAGTCTTATCTATTCCTGAAAAAGAACGCATTCAAAACATTCAACCTTGGTTTGAAAGTATCTGCGAGGAAGAACCCACTATTTCCAGGGGTAGCACATTCCACTTTTCAGCAATTCTGTGACTTCTACTCTTTCTTCTACTTCTTTCTTGCTTCATTAAAGCATTCCAAGAAATCATTAACTACTCTGTTGTAAGGCAGGGAGACCTCCTACAAATATGTAGATAACTTTAGTTCTGAATCATAAAAATATCATGCCTCACACACAAGCCTGATTACCTACTCCTAAAATGCTTCAGTTATTTCTTCCTTTTTTTTTCTGCAGGTATTCCGCAGTTTGGTCATTGACAATATTCTTTACATTTCTGCCTCTTTTCAAATTCATCCAAATGCCCTCCTCCTTGCTTCCCTCTCTCTGGTCACTAGATTTCCCTCACTTTAGTATACCTTCTATACAATTCTACTGTGTCCCCTGCCCACTACCCAGTTTCTTTTACACTTCCATATATTTTGAGGCATACACTTCCAATAATCATATCCCTTCCATGGGTCTCATCTCACCAAATCTCAGAAATACCCAAGATGTCCTATCTCTCTTCTCACTTTACAATTTCTACCTTGCCTTGTTCCCATACTTCATACAAAATGCTCAACTAAAACTATGGCTTTATTTCTGGCTCCTTTCTTGGGCTGTCTTCTATGAAGTTCTGAGTATCTCTACTACTTTTCTTTTTACATTATAGACATGACCAAAGTATAAGAATGCGGGTTAGGAAGATAATTCTCTCTCATCCTACTCCATTTCAGTTTAAAGCCCTTATGATTAGATTTATAAGACTACAAGCAGATCCATTTTTACCAGGCATTATTAGGTACAATCCATCCCTGGCCAGGAATCAGTCATTCCTGTATTTTGAACTTGTGAGCAGAAATCCAATCCTATTCCCAAATCCATATTTTTAACCAGATCTTCACTTCCCAAATCTGCAACTTTCCTAAAGCTTTTGATTAGCAGCACTAATAAAAATCCCACCTATGGTGCTAAGATCTTCAGTTTCTTGGCAAAGATTTCACAATCCTTAGCAATTCTTTTTGCATTCCTAATGGCATTATGGTATGAGATACATGCATCACCAGAAGCAGGAATAACTCCTCTCTCTGAACTCAGTTTCTATAACTCCTCTTATGAATTTCTGTTCTCATTTGTGTAACTCTTGTTCATAAACATATTACTGATGTCTCACTGTAACTTAGAGGTAACTGTGGGTTCTAGAAGGTTTATGCCAATGGGATGTAAAAGCTATGGCAAACATTATTAAACTGAACATAAATTTATAAAATGGAATGAAGGATGACTTATGGATTGCCCAAATGCTCTACTAGTACTCAAAGAATATTAAGAGGACCAAATGAAGGCCCCTAAACAATCTGGTATATCTGATAATGCAAGGTTTCTAGAAAGATATGGACAAAAATCACAAAGGATAAAAAGGTGAAAGGTATTCTAGCTGTGCTGGAAGTGGTAAGATCCAGTAAAGTTATTTGTAGAACAATTATATCTCCCCATCTAGCCTAGAAATCTCCTGAAGGCAGAGATAAAATTATGTCTCATTCATGTTCACATTTATTAAGCATCTGCCACATTCAAGTAACCATATCTACACGTGTGGGTTCTTAGAAAATGTTTTGTCGTCGTTGCTGCTGTTCAGTGGTTTCAATTGTGTCCAACTCTTTGTGACCCCATTTGGGGTTTTCTTGGCAAAGATACTGGAGTTGCCATTTCTTTCTCCAGTGGATTAGGCAAACAGAGATTAAGTAAGCTGCCTAGGGTCACACAGCTAGTGAGTGTCTGAGGCCAGATTTGAACTTAGGTCTTCCTGACTCCAAGCCCAGGGCTCTATCCACTGAGCCGCCTAGCTGCCTCCAGTAAATGTTTACTGAAATGAAATAAAATCTCATGTAGAAGTCAATATATTTATTTACCAAATAAATTTCTATAAAATCAAAACCATTCAAGGGCCCAATGATGTCCACTAGAAACATTCAACATAAAATTCTGAAAATCCTGAAGACTTCATAATATTTGATAATCTTCTCCAAAATACTATTTTAATTAAAAATTTTGAAATTTGCAAGTGCAGAATGAACTTTATAGCTGATGATAAGGCTTTAAATTGTATACAATTTTTTTTACTGAAAAATTAAGTTTCTTAGTTAATTCAAAAAGAAATTAAAAATACTTCTTTAAAATATAATACAAATTTGCTCTTAGGAAAAGTATAAGACTTTCATCTTAGAAATTTAAGGCATTCCAAAAACAATAATCACTTCCTAAAGCATAATTAGTAATAATTAACTTTTAAATGACATATTACTAACAGTATAGTTACATTCAGAATAAAAGACAGAGTACTCTGAACACAAAGAAACATGCTTTTAGTTAAATAACTGTACCATTCAAATTCCAGTATGTGTCTTCCTTTTCTGTTTTAAAAGAAATAAGAAAGAGATATGGTCCATCCCTCCATGTTGTGGCTACAACATCATCCTACAAAACAGAAAAAATCCTTTTATGGAAAATGGAAATGACAATTTAAAATAACAACTATTTGCTCCATAAATTTTAAAACTAGTATTAGATGTTGGACTTGCTTTCAATTTGTAGCAAATATAAAGGGTAGACACCAGACTGATGATGAAAATATCCAATATCTGTTTTATTCAAATAAATCTTTGCTCCAACTCTTTACTACCATACTGAGCAAAAAAGGGAGCAGTTTTCTCTCAAATTTCTCTCCAAAAGCCATCTTTCTATACATCCCTTCTTTTAGGGTAGCTATTATTAATATCTGGTTTTTCTAAAACATGTCTTTTTAAAAAATAGTTCAGGGAATTTCTGAATTATCTATCTAGATTAAAGGCAAAGGACAAAATACATTTCACTCTAAGAAAAAGAGCGGGGTAGAAAAGACTTAGCATTTGGAACCAGAGCAAACTGGGTTCAGATTTCAAGTCTACCACTTGTTATCTTAACAACTTGTTATCTTATGTGTTTGGGGAAATGACTTCTCTTCTCTGGGTCTCATTTATAAAATGAAGGATTTGGACTAGATTGATCTCTAAGGTCCTGTTTTTAGCTCCAAATTCCATGACTACAAGATTCTCCTAAATTTACCCTTCTCTAAATCATCAATTTGCAGTAACTCTCCATGAATACTATCTTTCCTTGCCCCCTTATATCTGAACTTTCCACTTCTGTTTCTTTTGCTCTCTTTAATACCATGTCTGATGCATTCCTATGAGCTTAAATAATCTCCATCAATTGGTTTATAGTTTTTCCTCCTTTCCTCATGGACAAAAGATAAAGGGCAGAGGAATAACAGTATGGAAAGAAGAGAGAAATGTTATACTGAGATCGTTAAATGAAACCTTAAAGACAGTTTTAAAACAATATACAGGGGCAGTTAGGTGTTGCAGTGGATAGAGCTCCTGCCTTGGAGTCAGGAGGACCTGAGCTCAAATTTGGCCTCAGAAACCTGACACTTACTAGCAGTGTGACCCTGGGCAAGTCACTTAACCCCGATTGCCTCACCAAAACAAAACAAACAAAAAAACCCCAATATACAAAAGAATTTGGGATTGATGTAGACAACATCAATACAAACAACATGTCTCCATTTAAATAAACTCTGTTTGCAAGCCACTTATTTTGTTTCCTCTCCCCCAAACACATACCAAGTACAATACAGCATGATGAAACTGACTATCCATCAGTATTAGATTTTTCTAAAAGTCCTACTGCACTGTATCTTTGGTTTAAGAACAAATGAAAATTAAAATTTACCATGGACCCTTGCAAGTCTGGAAGCTTTTTCATATTTACTACAGTTTGTTCTTTACTCTAAAAAAAGGAGAACAGATGATTGAAATCAACAAGGCCAACTCAAAATAAAAATTTTTCAGTACTTTCTGAAAGAAAAAAAAATCAACAGTTGTTAAAGATAACACATACCAAATGGGGAATCTCTCTCTGTACAAAATATCTAAGAATCCCAAAGGATAAGTTGAATAAAAGAGGACAAAATAAAGTGCTGCTATTAATTTTTTAAGCCTACAATTAAATGTGTTAACTGACATGTTTTCCCTAATAACACGTAGCACAATTTTTAGCTGCTTTATAGAGACCTCATATTTTTAATAGGGCAAAAGAATAAAATGACACTTAAAATAATTAAGAAGTTTGAATTGGTAGAATTTGAGGAAATCTTAAAGGAACAGGGATTTAACATTTAAGAGAAGACTAGAGGTTTAGTATGTCATAGACCACTAGACTTGACAATTACTCCTTTTACTAAAAAAAGAATGGAAAACAATCTCTACTTATTAGACTTTAGAATGAGATGGCAGGGATCATTTTTTTTTGAAGTTCTTTTGCAACCATTGTAATTTTGGATCATTTAGAACAGACAATATACACTGATCGAGAATATGGACTAATAGTTGATTAAAAGCTAATAACATACACATATTTTATGTAAAAAATAAGTACTGAAATAAAGCTCTGAACATAAGGAAAAAAATTACTTATTTTTGCAATAAAAGCCTCACAGCT